TGGCTTGGGATGAAAAGTGAGGAACAGAGTATCCAGAGGGCAGTACACTTGCTGTGCGACGATCGTTTGAGGCAGTTTTCCACGGTGTTGGATCACAAATACCTGGCTGCCTGAACGGGCTCCCACGTCCATACTTAGCGGATGCGATTAATATGTCAGATCCCTGCTCCCCGAGACCAGCGGAATGAAATGCAATAGATTCAAATGAATTCACGGTCCTTTTATATGGATATCTGAAGAAAACTGAATCTAGCCCGATTCTTGGTCGGGAGCTCAGATGCAGACCCACCTGGGTAGGCGAGGGTCGGCATAGAAGATGATCGCACCAGTCCAGACAATCTAACCAAGGACAAGGGGCTGTCCTGTCCCCTCCCTGTCCCCTGGGAGCAGCCTTTCCACCTCCCACCCCCCCAGGAGGCGGCTGAACCGCTCAACTTGACCCAAGGCTCACCCAGGTGAGCCGTGGTCTTCAAGTGCTTCCACTCAGCGCGCGCAGCTGGCGCCAGGACCCGGGCTGCGGTTGCCAGGGTGACGCGAGACGCGCGCGGAGCCCGCAGCTGAAGGCGGGTGCGAGGCGCGAGTTTGCAACGCCTCCTCCCCCCCCGCCCCTGCGCCATCGCCGGAGCCACGCGTTGCCGGCACGCGAGGGGAGTGGCCCTGCCTCCGGGAAAGCGCGGCTCGGGGGGCCGCTCGGGGCTCAGCCAGTGAGAGGCCGGGGGAGTGGTGGAGGCAAGGCTCAGGCCGGGTACTTAGAGCAGCGCTAGCAGCCGGACCCGATCTTCCTCGCTTCCCTCGCGCCGACGCTCAAGGCCCGCCGCAGCCGGGCGTTGTGGGGCCCCAGAGCGGCTACCCGGTTGTATCATGGTGACCCCTTGTCCTGCCAGCCCGGCCAGCCCCGCTGCGGGAGCCGGGAGGCGGGACAACCATCAGAACCTCCGCGCCCCGGTGAAGAAGAGCAGACGCCCGCGCCTCCGGAGGAAGGAGCCGCTGCGGCCGCTGAACGCGTGTTCGCTCCCGGGAGACTCCGGCGTCTGTGACCTTTTCGAGTCCCCCAGCTCTAGCTCGGACGGCGCGGACAGCCCAGCGGCGTCTACGGCGCGGGACTGCAGCTCCTTACTCAGCCCTGCCCGGCCCTTGACCGTGCTAGATCTCCAGACCTTCCGAGACTACGGCCAGAGCTGCTATGATTTCCGCAAGGCGCAGGAGAGCCTTTTCCATCCGCGGGAGTCGCTGGCGCGACAGCCACAAGTGAGGCCGTTGGCAGAGCCAGACCCGGGCCATCGCGCTTCTGCCTCTCTCTTCTTGGCTGTTGTCTGCCCTTCGCAGCGCCCTAGTCGTTGCAGCCCATTATCTGCCGTCAGTAGGAGCAAAAGGGATCTTCGAGGATTGGGCCACTGACCTCACTCTTTAGATGGAGAAAATTGGGCGGGAGGGGGGGGGGAATACCTGAAGTCTGTACGTTAGTTCCGGGGGCTACAGGAATTTATTAGAATGCAGAGGAGTCCAACAGTTTCTAAGTTAGAACGGGAGCTCCTAAATTTGTTTGCACACCTGCAAAGGGACCTTTTCCCACCCCTGGTGCACGCCGTACAGTACTGAGCGCGAGCCCAGGCGTTCCAGGGCTCCTGGACTCAGCCAGGTCTGCACTCCCATGTGTTTCCCATTTTTCGGTGCATTTAGCCTTTTCTCTCTACCTCCGCGCTCGGGGAAAGCTCCCCGCATTATCTTGGTCCCCTGCTGCAGCACGCTTCCCCTCTCCCTCCCGGCAGGTGACAGCAGAATCCCGCTGTAAGCTGCTCAGTTGGCTCCTGCCTGTCCACCGCCAATTCGGCCTCTCATTCGAGTCTCTGTGCCTGACGGTGAACACTCTGGACCGTTTCCTTCTCACCACCCCGGTAGCTGCGGACTGCTTCCAGTTGCTCGGGGTCACCTGCCTGCTCATCGCTTGCAAGCAGGTACCTCCACCAGGCGCAGGGTGGGATGTGTTTGGAGCCAGCCTCTCCCCCAATGTGCGTAGTTCAGCGTTGGGTGGCTGGACTCATCTAGGCAGATGCTCGCAGATCTTTATACATCATAGCCTTTTAACTTTATATAGTTTCACAGAATAACCAATCCCTACAGACCTCAAAGAGATAGGCTGTAGCCAGCCTCCCACCCAAAGCTGTGTAGCACTTCTAAGTCTCTGGGAAGCATGCTTTTAAAATCTGTC